CTGTGACCTGTGACCAACTATTTGGTGTCTGTGACCTAGCGATTGTGATCTTTTTGGTATCTGTGACCTAACTTAAAATTGATAATTTGTAACTAAAAAAATAATCTGTGACCTCGAAATAATCTGTGATCTACAAAATTTTTTATCTGTGACCTGGAAATAATACGTGACCTACAAAAAATTTTATGTGTGACCTCGAAATAATCCGTGATCTACAAAATATTTGATCTGTGAATTCGAAAAAATCGCCGGAGTAGTCGGAGTAGTCGTCGGAGCAGAGGTGGCAGTGAGATGAGTTAATTATATTATATTACAGTTTAATATTTAATTTAATATAATAATTTTGAAATATAATTAATTAATTTATGAAAAACCTAATTTTTGCAATTCTAAACTTTGGGACCTAATTTTTGATTTTGAGATAGATAAAGCCTGAGTTGTAAATTTTTCCCTTAGTTTTACCAATTTCATATTTAAGAAATTATGTTTACAATTTCAAATTTCAAAGTTTTTATAATTTTATTTGTAAATTAATTAATTAAACATATATTTTATTAATTAAATATATTAAGGTCACAATTTCGTATAATTTGGTCACAAATTCCATATAATTGGTCACAAATCACAATTTTCACATGTCACAAATTATTTTACGGTCACAATTCAAAAAATTTATAGATCACAATTTGTTCATCGGTCACAAATAAAAAATTAAAATGTCACAAATTATTTTACGGTCACAATTCAAAAAATTTATATGTCACAATTTATTCATCGGTTACAAATCAGAAATTTTATAAGTCACAAATTATTTTACGGTCACAAACAAAATTTTTATGTGTGACAAATTATTTTACGGTCACAATTCAGAAATTTTATAAGTCACAGTTTATTCATCAGTCACAAATAAAAAATTTATTCTTTACAATTTACTTATCGGTCACAAATTACAAATATTATAAGTCATAACTTAGTAGACAGTCACAAATTATTAAATTATTGGTCACAAATTTAAAAAAATTTAGGTCATGCATTATTGTTTGGTCACAATTTATCTTTTTCATTGGTCACATATTATTTATTGGTCACAGATTAACCAATTTAATGGTCATAATCAACAAAATAATTTGTGACCACCACCGCACCACTCCCTCTAGCAGCACCACCGCCAATTTAGCCGCAAAAACCACCACCACCACCACGACGTTCCGACAGCAATACAACAATTTCAAACTAATCAACTTATCGTAGAAAAACACCACTACATTGTCACGTCATTCCACCACCATCGTGACAAAACCATCGTCGTCGTCGTCGCCGCCACCACCACCTCGCACCACCCCACAACCTCACCAACACCGCCCACATTACTGTTGCCAACATGACCATCACTTCCTCAATTTCATCACCACCCCCATGAACACTATCTACACTACCATCGTTGACCACGACGTGCTGCACCCAACATCTACACCACCATCTCGCACCACCACCAAAACAACAGGACCTCACCACCACCACCCCCATCCTACAACTTTAAAAAAATCCTCAACCCTATCATCATCTCTACCACCTTCACCAACCACCATGTACACCACCGCCCAACCACCATCACGCCAACAACCAGAACCACCGCACCACGCTACTACCAGAAAAAAACCCTCCAGATCGGAAACCTCCCTAACCCCCCCCCCCCACTGTATCCAAAACCTCCGCACACCTCAACAAAGAAAAAGAAAAGACGAACCACCATCGCACAGATCGCAAACCTCCACCACACAAATCGCGATGCCACCTAAACCACCGCACACGATAGGCCTTGCGAGGTCTTCGACGACGACGGCGGGGGGAAGAAGAGAGAGGCGAGAGATTAGAGAGGCGACCAGAGGAGAGAGAATGAAGATGTGAAATGATTTTTGATTTTTAGGGTTTGAATAATTATAATTTAGATAGAGATGAATTACTATCTGATTTTTGTATAAATAAAGTTTATATCTGAAATTTGAAATTGAAAGTTTAAAAATTTGGTTTTTTGTAATTTCCACCCCTCTACAATTTTTTTTAAAAACTTATATCAAATGTGTTTTTATTTTTACTAGTAGTAAGCACGTGCATTGCACATCTTATGTACATAGTGAGTGATATACGTAACGTTTTTAAAGTAGGGTAATTGATAATGTTAAAAGAAAAATTAAAATTGTTAAAAATGATAGATACAAATAAAAGTTTTTGTATGAAATTATGTATATAATATGAAAATGTTGAACAAACTGAAATGTAATGTAATGCTCCGAATATTTACTTGTTTATGTTGACATTGGTTGGACCCCTTGGTGTGCTGTCGCAAGCACCCAAAAATAGTCCTTAAACCTCTAAAACTAATGTAGTAGTGGAAGTAAGGGTCGATCCCACGAAGAGTGTGTAATTCAATATTTTATGCTTCATACAATGATTGGTGGGGTTTTGTATGCAACAATTGTAAATAACATAATCAATAATAATGAAAATTAAATTAACGAAAACAATCAAATAACTAACCTTGGTCTAAGTCCACATCCACCATCGGAAATCCACAATTGATCATAGATACAAGGATAATTCAATTCATATTTCGAATATTCATCGTTGGAATTGATTCCTATTTCTCCTTAATTTTAGTTAATTAGAAACCAGCGTTCTAATTAACCCTAATTATTAAATAACCCCAGACC